ACTAGAAATATCAAGAATAATTTGCCACCCTTTGATTATTCTGAATGTCAAGTCTACTAGAAATATCAAGAATGGGTTTACACCCTTTCATTATTGTGGATGTTAAAAGTCTACTATGAAACAAGAATTGGATTAGGCTCTTTGATGAGTACGAAATGTGGATGTCAAGTCTATACCTGCAACATCCAGAACGGATTTACACCCATTAATATGCTGAAAAAGTCTGTATGTAGTTAGAATGTTTTGAATTAATAGCTGACATGTTCTAAATATTTCTTATATTTTTATTGATACCAAAATTTCATACTTTTCTTGAATCAACTTACTTAAGTGCAAGGAATTTATTCCTGAAAAAAATTAATTATCAAGAGGCTAACTATAGATTTCTTCAAAATAGCAGATTTATGAATTGGAGATTATGAGAGTTGATAATATCATTCCTAACAAAACAAATTCAAACTATACCATTAATATATGTAATATATAATTCATAAATGTATATTAAAATAGTGTGAATAAATCTTTAATAAAATAATAATAATATATACATCTATACTCTATATATATATACTTTGCTTGTTTCCCTGTTTGTTCGTATCCAAGGTTTATGGATGGGAAGGTTTATGGATGGGACGGTTTATGGATACTTATTTAGTAAAATTTTGAAAATCCACAATTAACTGTTAATAACACTGTTGGTTCGCAGTTTTTGGACAGAAATTTTCTCCTTATCGAAAAGATTCAAGCCTTTCAAAGCTCGGGACAAAATATAATCTAAAAATGCGAGAACCTTCGAGATATAGAGAAAAGTTAAGTCCAAAAACATTAAAGTACGTTGTGCCAAAATAAAATTGTTAGGTAATTCTATGAAACTTTTGTGTACTTGTCCTATTTTACTAACTATTTCTAGATCAAATAAGCTTTGAAACAAAGCAATAGTCAAAATATAAAGTTCATTTCAATTTTAATTTCATTTGAATTGAAAAAAAATATTTTGGAAATATCCTAAATTTTTTGGAGGAAATCCGGGAACCAATCTGTACTTTATAGCACACGTGCTATAAAGTACAGATAATTTAACTTTATAGCAGGTTCATTATGAAATTCACGATGAAGTGAGGAAGAATCATAAAGTACACAATAGTTTCATAAAAAATAATATTGAATCCACCAACTTTTTTGTTATTGTTTTATATTGTTGTAAAGAGAAGATGCTCACAGATAGAGGTGCACAATTTAAAGCTGAAATAGAAGATGGGAGCGAAGCGCCCTAAAGGCCTAGTTCTATATATATATATATATGTTGAAATACTTATGCCCGCTTCTATATGATAGATATGTATTTATACTTATATCTTAATATAGATTTATTTAATCGAAAAAATATATAGGTATGTAAATATGCTTTAAGATATATATAATGATTGCATTTTTATTGCATCTACATTGGTTTCATTTTATGCCATCTCCAGGATATAGATATGTTCCGTATATATATATTATTTATTTACAAAATGTGTATTGTTATTTTCCTAAACCCTATAAAATAAATTGCAAGACACTGTTTTGCTATGAAATAATGTTGAAAGTCGGAACTCGTAAACATTAACACTATTATTTTGGTTCACAGAGCAGTTATAAAAATTCTCTATTTTTAAAAATTGTTTTTATTCTAGAAACATTAACTTTTTTTGAAAATCTGTTAATCTTTTCAATTTTTTAGCACAGTGCTTTATTATACAGATACTATAGAAATATGGCACGATGACTACTTTTTAGCACGTCAACCGAGAAATGACCATGAATGATAAAGCACACACAAGTTTCATAAAATAATTTATCTGGATAACCCTTCAGCCTTTCCCATTCTCCCCCCCTACTACCCCCCCCCATCTTTTTCAAATGTGTTCTCTTTCCTTGAAGAAAAATGAAAATAAATCTTGGTGAATTCTCTACATCCTCTACATCTACATAACATATCCTTCAAGCTTTTACATATTGTTAAATTCTCTAGAGACAGAATATATGATAAATCATAAATCTTTTCAAACTTTTCAAGATTTGAAAGGAAGCCCCCGCCCATCCATCTTAACTTTTTATTTAAACTCTAACTTTGTTTTATTTTGTAAATTCAAGGTAAACTATTGTATTACGGACTGGGCTCGTTTAGACTGTTTTCAACCCGTTTTCTAACGGAGTGACCGGCAATGTGCATGGTTATAGTTAAACTTAGTATGCAGTATTGCTGAGAATTTTTTAGAAATCATTTAAGACCTATATAAGAAAGTTTGTTCAGCAAGAGCACAAATTAAATCTTCACAATCCTCATAGATTGTTAATTTTCGAGGGATAATTTTGAGAATCGGGTTTAAAAGATTATTCAGTACCGACGACGAAAAATGCAATAAAAATCCTACAGTAAACTAATTATAATCGTTCGAAAATACGCAATCTTATTCAGTTACTGGTTTCTGTAATGTTTCTTTGTTCACAAACATTTTCTGTAGATTTCCTAGAATTTTTATTGAAAAGACGAGAAATGAAGAATTTAAAGAAGTCTTCGAAGAAATTTATATAGACAAAGATATTCAATATAATGATGAAAAAGAGATGATTGATTCAAAAATTGATTTATTGAGAAAATTTCAATGAAAAAATATGTCCCTAAACAATTAATTAGTTTACTGAAATTTTTTTTTTACGTTTTTTGTTGTTATTTAATCAATTTTAAAAATTCGATTCTCGAAACGTAACCACCCAAATGGATGAATGTGAACGTCGACATTGCACGCAAACTCAGAATTATGCATCATTAAAACGTTTTATATGTTTCAAATGAATCCTAATAATTTCTCAAAAATATAACATTCTCAGTTCAACTACCATACATTAGCTAAAATCGTTCAAACGACCAACTCAGTTCGATAGAACTCAATTTTATTAATGAACGAAGTTAACGGAAGATATTCAACGAGAAAATAATAATTTAAAAATGGAGAATTAAGACAATCTAAAGATACACAAATATATTATTTGTAAATTATTTAGAAAATTCAAGGATAGCTAGAAAAACCTGTATAAAAAATGACAAAAATAAAAATCTATTTTAAAAAAAAGAGAGAGAAATGCACAGCAAGATGATTTTTTAGCACAAAAAAATTTAACTTTTTAAGTAAATTGTACCTAGCTTTCTAAGTCTGTATACATTGTAGCTTTTTAAGGATTGAATTTTCTGGTCAGTTTGTCTCGATAGTTAATTTGTTTCAAAACTCAATCCTCAAACAGACTCATTTCAAATAATGTATTTTGAGGTTTTCAGCTAATTAACAGAAATATTCCGATCAGAACAATTATGGACAAGCGAATTGGGCAAATAAAGTCGTTGGTAAGTTTCAAATAATATGTATTTACACCCTAATGGAAAGAAGAGAAGAAAAAGAATGAAGATGGTATATCATATTTCCCTGCCTCTAGATGTCCAATTACGAGAAAGTGACAAAAAAGTGAAAATAATGAATTGTATCTGAGTTGATATACAAAATTAGTACATACACAACAAAATAGTATCAAATATAAAACATCAAAGCTTTAGAAAATTTTAAAATATTATTAACTATAAATAGATTCTTAGAATTTTCAGCATGTTAGACCCTCCCTTAAGATTTAAAACAGTCAAAAAAGGTGTTTTGAGTTCGACACTTTTTTTAACAAATCGGGATTTTTTTTATTTCATAGACTTTTTAACACTTTTTTTGCTCAAGTCTTAAAGGGGATTCTAGGGCTGTGTTATAAATTTTCCTATTTGGGGAGATTCCAATACCCCTTGCCCTTGCAAAGATAGCATGCGCCCACAACGGTACCCTTGAAACCTTTATCTGATCAAAAATGTGGAAGATATTTTCTTATTTCAGACTAAAAAAATGTTCACTTTTGAAAATTTCTCGATTGCTTCTTCTATAGAAGAAATGCGCAAGTCACTTTTGCAGAGGAATCACAAATTGTAATTAACAGTTTGCACGGAGGTTCACTTAAAGTTACGCTTTATACAGTCCCATTAACTTTATTTTCTGAATCCCCCCACTGTAACCCTAGAAGTATGTGCATGTATGTAAAGATATATACCATTATTCTCTGGTAATTGTCAATATCATCAATACCAAGCTTAGACTAGACAAACACTGCTAATCCAACCTGAGATATTTCTTTAGGGAAGATTGGCATTAAATACTTATTTGGATATATCAATTATTGGAAGGAGGAGGTATCAGACAGAGTAGAAGAAAGAAGAGAAGAAAATAACTGGAAAGAAACAAGAATGATGAAATACGACAGAAGATAAGGTCAAAAGAGAAATAAGGAAGATGGGAGGAGGAAGGATGAAGGGATGCAAAGAAAAAAACAGGATGAAGATTGATAAATAAAGCAAAAGAGGATTGAAAGAAAAACAAGGAAGGTGTAAACAAGAAAGCTGGAAAGAGAAATAAGGCAGGTGGAAAGAGAAAGAAGAAAGGTGGAAAGAGAATCAAGAAAGGTGAAAACAAAAAGAATGCAGGTGGAAAATGAAAGAAGGAAGAAGATATATTAAAATAAAAAGAAAGGTGGAAAGATAAAGAAATAAGCTGGGAAAAGAAGAAGGTTTGCAGGAAGAGGAGTAAAGAAGAAGAAAGATGGAAAGACGCCAGATTGAAAGATAAAGAAGGAAGGTGGAAGAGGAAGAAGAAAAGTGGAAGAGGAAGAAGGAAGGTGGGAAGATAAAAGGAAAGTTGCAAGAGAAAGAAGGAAGGCATTCAGAGGAAGAATGAGGATATAAAGAGAAACAAGGAAGGGGGAAAGAGAAAAAAAGAAAGGTTGAAAGAGATACAAGGAAAGTGGAAAGAGAAAGGAATTAAAGCGGAGACAGAGGAAGGGTGAAGATGGAAGATTGAAAGAGGAAAAAGAAAGATGGAAAGAGAAAAAGGAAATTTGGAAAGAATCAAGGAAGATGGAAAGAGAAAGAAGGAAGGGGGATAGAAAACAAATTTAGAAGTTTAACAAGAAACATGAGAGGAGAAATGTAAAAAAAAATTGGACGATGGGAAATAGACAGAATAAGCATAAAGAAAAAAATTAAACCACAAGACTGGAGAATAGAAAAGAATAAAAAAATTATTAAAGTTTTGAAAATAATAAAAATTAAGCTAGATAAAGCATGAAAAAAATAATGGTATTTAAATTTCTAAAGTTGTTACTAGTCTTGAGCCAACCCCCGGAACTAATTCATTCTCGAAAGTAAATTTAATAATTATTTACGACTACTTTACAAGATAGTAAAGGGAATTTTTACTTTTCCAAGGGTTCCCAAGCACAATTTTGCCTACAAAACATCCAGAGCATAACGAAACATGTTTCTTAAGCGAAATTGGTCGAGTGAACCCGTGGTTAAGTAAAATTTGTAATTATCCAAAAAAGGTAGTTGTACACAAAAATTTTTTGAAAAAAACTGAAGAAAAAAATTTCCCCCGGCCACCCATGAGTGTTCACAAAAAAATTTCATCCCATTCGGTCCAGCCATTTGGCCGGCTATACGCAACATATAGATAATTTAAGAATTCCCATTTCTTTCCTATATTCTAATTAAACCTACTTAGACAAGAAATATGATCATATTTTGCTTTAAATAAAGATTAAATTTCTCCTGACTTTTCCCTTAACTTTCTCTGACTTTTCTTGTAAAAACAAAGATAAAACGTGTTTAAAGCTGCGACAGAGACAAGAATACTGTAAAAACATTCACTTTTTATTCTTGAAAAATTGTGAGCCAATTCAATCCTATTCTTACCAATATTTGATCATTTTATGTATACTTTGCGCGCAAGGACTTTTTATTGCATGGTACAACATTATTGAACACAAACAAAGCATAATAAAAGATGCTAAATTAAAAACTTTAGTAAGTTTCGGCATTTAAGCTAGGAAATATGATATGGGAGTGGGACACCCAGTATAATATTGTATTATTGCGTATATTAGTACACTGTAGTGTACAGTTGGTTTCGTATTGAGCGAGTGATATGATGTAAAACCGGTTTATCTGAAGTCTGGTCACCTGTGGTTGTATGGTGTGAGAGAAGAGAGGAGGCTGAGGGAGGTTGTATTGAGAGCAAAGCTTCCTCCAGTCTCCGGCACTATCCCGAACCTACCGGAGAATAAGTATACTCCAGTAGGACCCGGATATGCGACCCTACTCATCAACCCACCCTGAGCAAATGATACGCATACGTATACATCAGCCTGCAGGCTGCTAACTCATGTCTAGAGTGAGGTGTACATCTAGGACCGGGTTTGGTCGGATGCGGAGAAGATGAATGAGGAAGGTGTGTATACCGACCTAAACCAACCTTCAGATCTTCCGTTCTCTCATCGTTTCTTCAAGTGGATACCCCATTTCTTAGAGTGCTTAACCCCCCGGCTAACTCATCGCTGTGATTTCTGTGAAAATGTTGAATTAAAAATAAATGAAAAAGGTGTGGCCCCAGTGAGGGGAACACTCTTAACTTATTCAACACTCTTGAAGCCCCCCGAAAGGGTTGTGAAAATACCCCCAAAACCCCCGTCTTCAAGTAGTGAATTATCCCCTCAATGTTGGAGGAATCTATCTAGTCCTGTACGATCCTGTCAGCATAAATCCATGAACCAAGTGAGTGTATGCAGGCCCCTAGCTTCTCTATGGACCTGGATAGTTTTCAGTTTAAGTATAGTTATGTTGATCCAGGCTTCGGAGGGGGTCATTAACACAGGGAACCCGGACGCCAAGCGGTTGTATGATGACCTCCTCTCTAATTATAACAAGCTGGTCAGACCGGTTCAGAATACAACGGATCCTCTCACAGTTAGAATTAAGCTCAAACTATCTCAACTCATTGACGTGGTGAGTGAAATAATTTATTTTAACAATATAGTATCTTAAAGTGACTGTATTTTAACAATATAGTATCTTAAAGTGACTGTATTTTAACAATATAGTATCTTAAAGGGACTGTATTTTAACAATATAGTATCTTCAAGTGACTGTATTTTAACAATATAGTATCTTAAAGGGACTGTTTTTTAACAATATAGTATCTTAAAGTGACTGTATTTTAACAATATAGTATCTTAAAGGGACTGTATTTTAACAATATAGTATCTTAAAGTGACTGTATTTTAACAATATAGTATCTTAAAGGGACTGTATTTTAACAATTTAGTATCTTAAAGTGACTGTATTTTAACAATGTAGTATCTTAAAGGGACTGTATTTTAACAATGTAGTATCTTAAAGGGACTTATTTTAACAATATAGTATCTTAAAGGGACTGTATTTTAACAATATAGTATCTTAAAGTGACTGTATTTTAACAATATAGTATCTTAAAGTGACTGTATTTTAACAATATAGTATCTTAAAGGGACTGTATTTTAACAATATAGTATCTTAAAGGGACTGTATTTTAACAATATAGTATCTTAAAGGGACTGTATTTTAACAAGGACTGCATTTTAACAATATAGTATCTTAAAGGGACTGACGATGGAATTTCAAGTGACTCGTCATTTATAAAGTGGTATTTCTTGTAATCACACCCTTTTCCATTTACAGCTGGACAAATGTATAATTATGTCATCATTAATCAGACAAAAGCTTGTGGGGGTACCGTTGTGAATCGGACATACCGCTTTATTACTGTAGGGTCACTACGAATTACGTCTCTACAGTCTCTTTAAACATCACATTTGGTATTACAAAAGATTAAATAGCTAAAAGTTTGTTTGCATAAAAATATATTCATCTTTTTTATTGTACTATTAGTCTGACTTAAATTGCGGAAAATATTTTCGCATTCAAAAATGTTGATTAAAATACGGGAAAAGGAAATAATGATAAATTGTCGTGAATTTGAACTTATTTAACGATATAAGAAAAGTGCTGACTGCAAATATTGTGGTAAATTCCACTATAAATTCAATCTAGAAAACATTGAATTAAATACTGCAATATTTTCTGGAAAATATCAGCATCTAAAGACATCGGATTAGATTCCTTAAAAACTGTAAATAATAGAACCCACCATCTAACATCACTTGGGCAAAAACTATAAATCATTAATTATCTTGAAAGTGCAAAACATTCAAAGGAATTGAGTCTTTGCCACAAATTCTGATTTTGTAATCCCTATATTTTTAACCTGATGGCAAAAACCTTTGATATTTCAAATTAAGATTAATTGATCTAACAGAATTCAAGGTTAGATATATCTAAGGTGCACAACATTGTGTTGCAAAGATATAGAGATTAGAAATTCAGATTTTGTGGCAAACGTACTCAATTCATTTTCTGTGTTTTCCTAATTACTGTACCTCAACCCCTTCCTTCAACGCTAAAACTTTTTATTTGTCCATACTTCTTTCTTTCATATACTTTACTTAAATTTCTTTTTTTTTCTCCTTCATCCTCTTCCGTTTTATTACCAAACCTTCTTATTACTTTTTTTCTTCTTAAATTTTTCATCTTTTCTTTTTTTCCCCATTTTTATTCCGTTTCTTCTTTTTTCATCTTGCTCTATACTAACAGTCATTGCCATTCCTCCTTTACCTTCTTTGTACTTTGTCCTTTTATTTTTTTTATTTTTATCTCTTTGCAGTTCCTTTCTCTTTCCTTTTCTTTACACTTCCGTTCTCTCTTTTATTTCCTGTCTCTCTCTTTTCCTTTCCTTCATTTACACCTCTTCCTTTTCTTTTTTCCTTTCTTCTTTATTATTAACTTCAACCTGGTTCTTTTCTTTCACATTATCTTTCCTGTTTAAAGTATTTCTTTTTCTTTTCAGATTCATTGAATAATTCTATCATAATTTTGTTTTTCGTTTCTTGTCCTTTCTTCTCGTATTTATTACTGACCCTGTACTCTGTTACTTTACCCCCCCCCCCCTGCACTACTATGCCCCCCTCTCAAGTACCATGCTAATGAGCTGCTGTTGGTCCGATGTACTGTAGGTCGGATACACACTTTATTAAAAAAAATTAGTGTTTCCGACCTACTGTAGGTCGGTTGCACAGCTTTCTTTAGTTGGTTACACTCTTCTGTAGGTCAGATTAACAACTTTTTTAGGTCGGATGCACAAAAAAGTTTGTGTATCTGACCTACTAGCGGTTGCACACCTTTCTTAAGTTGGTTGTACTCTTCTGTAGGTCGGACGCACACTAAATGTCTTAACCTAACCTAACCCCACATATCGGCTATACCTTTGTCATTTTGATAAATGTGGCCGCAGCGCTCGGCCCCCTAGCCTGTCCTAGCCGCAGCACTTAGCCCAGAAATTGTCTTAACCTAACCTAACCCCACATATTGTCATTTTGACAAATGGAAATGCTGTAGGACTGAAGTAACATTACTCTGCTAATATCAGACCATTAATTCTAATAATTCTATCTAATATCTCTACACATTTATGGTAATAGGATATAAAATATACTCTCATTGTATTAGTCCCATCATGTGAATGAAATATTATAAATGCTGTTTCGAGATGCACTTTCTCAAATTAACAAATATATCACAAACACGCACCCCTGACCCTTTAGTAAAACTAAATTCAACCTAAAGTCTGACCGCGTCAACTTTGTTGCACCGGCTAGTCCTATTGGGTGTTTGCTTTATTTACCCAATGTCCGGGCGATAAGTACAAACTGGGACCGGAAAGGTTGACCCGGCTACAGCTGCCCGTGCAAACCCTTTTCAAAATTGTTATATAACTATTCTGTTTTTATGCAACTGCAGCAAAAAAAACATTGAAAATTTGTACAGATAATATGATAAACTTATCTGTGTTTTATTCTAAAATGTTTCTGATTTTGTCCACACTTATGAACTTTTATGTATTTCTTGATTTTATTCACGTTTCTGTTAGCAACATCCAGCCCTTTTAGTGGGGGTTCGTTTAAAAAAAAAAGTGACCACTTCGTTTTAGTTAAAAGTGCAGTATTAAAGAATAAAAATCTAAACAAATTAACTCAGATCATACACCGTGTAATCTCCGGTTTATTTCCAAAACCGGGTCGACGTTTAAGCAGCTAGAATAAGCATGTACACTGTACAGTACACATACAGACCACACCGGACTAACCAGAGTGAGCAGCATTCGGTTTCTTCTATTTGAAATCAAACGTGTTTTGGTCTTTAATTCATTAATCATTTACTTTACGGATTTGTTTATTTTGTACATTTTCATTCACAATGCATATGCCAACAAAAAGTAATTAAGAAAAAAGGCTTGCAAATTATGTTTAATGGGTCAAATTATGATCGAAAGTCACAGCTTTCTGGAATATTGACAGAACCGTTAAATCCACGTGAGACTATAATATTAGGCAAAATGGGGTAGTACACTCATTGAATGTTCCTTATAGGTAGATTATAGTTTACAGTATGTTGGTAAATTCTGTTCATAACAACAGTTATACAACGTAAAAAATCGTTTCAATTTGCCATTAAATGAATCTTAATTTTCATTTTCTAATACAGCACTTTCAGCTGAACTGTTCTTCCACAATAGTTCCTTTAAGATTCTATTTAAATAATGCTCTCAGTCAGCCTCTCTCATGTCTGGTATGGTGACTAACATAAATTCAAATACAAATTTAACTAGTTGGTAATTTCACAAATTGAAAATTAAATACAATTATACATTTGGACACATTTTTAATCATATTTAAAAATATATAAGTGATTTTGTTGTGTGAAAAAATTATTGTTTTTAGCTTGAAAAAAAGGTATCCCTACCTAAAAAATTGGATATTTTAATAAAAGAAGTGAGAAAAAGGAGCAAGGACTAATGTATAGTGAAGGAAAGTAGGATAGAAAAAGGAGCAAAGACTATTGTATAGTGAAGGAAAGAAGGATAGAAAAAGGAGAAAGGACTAGTGTATAGTGAAGGAAAGTAGGATAGAAAAAGGAGAAAGGACTGTATAGTGAAGGAAAGTAGGATAGAAAAAGGAGCAAGGACTAATGTATAGTAAAGGAAAGTAGGATAGAAAAAGGAGCAAAGACTATTGCATAGTGAAGGAAAGTAGGATAGAAAAAAGAGAAAGGACTAGTGTATAGTGAAGGAAAGTAGGATAGAAAAAGGAGCAAGGACTAATGTATAGTAAAGGAAAGTAGGATAGAAAAAGGAGCAAAGACTATTGTATAGTGAAGGAAAGTAGGATAGAAAATGGAGCAAAGACTAGTGTATAGTGAATAAAAGTAGGATAGAAAAGTTTTCAAGTAGTTTCTGAAGTACCATACATCTAACAGCTGTTAAAACAGACTTAAGTTTCAACACCATATTATCTCTATAGGTTATAGAGATATTTTCAGAACATAGTGCTAATTTAAGTTCCCTGGGGCCTGGACGTTACTGCCATGCAAATATATTTTTGTATAGGGATTGGAGAGTAGAGACGTAGTTTTAAGTGACTCTCTAGTCATAGAGTGGAATGTCCTGTTCGCACCGGAACCCTTTAAACTTTTTCTGTATAAAGAATGAATGGGATATCCTTATTTTTCTACCGAATAAAAATCTTTAATTTTCAATTGTGACTGTCCTATAACAATGACATGCAGATTGATGCTATAAGAAAAACTTGACAGAACCAAATAATATATTGAGAGGAGGGGAGCTTACACCGCCCTCCCCCCCCCCCCCAATTGCGTAAAATTATCTAAAACGGCGTTCATCCTGTTCTTATCGAAATATTTTTATTCATATTTAGATCTCTGATTCAAAATCTGTCAAAAAAAGCGTAAGCGATCATATGTTATACAGAGCCCAACAAATTAGTATAAACTAGAAAATATAAAAAATCTACATCAAATGGGTAAAAATTGAGATTAACATGATCGAATTTTAACCA